GCCTTTTGTCCCTTCAGTTTTCATAATAGCAAGCATACCTTTGAGCCAGTTTGGTGTAGTGGTTAAGTGTGCGGACTCTAACCTGGGAGAACCGGGTTTGATTCCCCACTCCTCCACTTGCACCTGCTGATGAGACCTTGGGTCAGTCACAAGCTCTGGCACAGCTGTTCCTGAAAGAGCAGTTTGTGTCAAGAGTTCTCTCAGCCCCACCCACCTCACAGGGTGTCTGTTGTGGGGAGGGGGAGGGAAAGGAGTTTGTAAGCCGCTCTGAGACTCCAAGTGAGGGGCGGGGTATAAATCCAATCTCCTCTTCTTCTTCTAAAACATCACTGCTTTGCATTTGCTCCTTTTATTAAGTGGTGGAAAAGCTGGCTGTGTAGCTCAGAGGCACTGCCTTGCTCGCAGGGTAGCCCCAGCAGCAGGGCACCCCACTTCGGATCTGAACCAGAGACCCACAAACCCAAGCCAAAGGGGACACTTTTGACTTGTGCCACAGAGCTAGCTAATGCTCTGTGAAAAGGGTTTCAATTTCAGGTTGCACAAGGCACTCTCGAGGGCAATTTTCAATCCCCCCCCCCCATCAGGCAAAGGAATGCATATGTAATGACCATGAGTTCTGTCAGGTAAAGTATCTACATTGCCATAACCATTCAGCAAACATCTGGCAAACCTCTGCTGTCTCCATATCAAAATATGATCCCCTTTGTGTGATACCCATGTCTATGTGAAACTCTTTTGTCCCAGTACCTACCCTTCCTGTCTCTTTCCCCAGGATATAGAGGCAAATTGATCGAATTAGCTAAATCATTAACAATTCTTCCTGACACCTATCAGAAACCCATCTCCCCCTTTTTACCTAAGCCTGGGAGCCCATTCATAAGACCATCAACGGTCATAAAATCCATTCAACTTGACCCAGAAAGACCATCAACAGTCAGTAATGCCATCTAATTCTGGTCCAGGAGACCACCCCTCAAATTTCCTATAAAAGGAAGGAGCAAGCCCTGCCACAGTGTGCACTCTGAGGGCACCTATTATTGAGTACACCCCCAAAGCCTTTGCTTTGGGCCTCTTAACATGGAATGCTGGCCATTTGCGCTATCCTTTTCACACATGTCTGCACATCTGGAAAGGCAGTATAATCCCCATAATTGCGCTATCATCACCTCTTTATTTCTTAGTCCTGGATTGCTTGTTCTCTCTCACTTGATCGCTTAGCGTGACTGTATGCAGGGATATTTTCTAATAAAATCATTAAAAACTCTTTAAATCTGGAGTCTTCATACTGAACTGGACCTTGGTATATATAGGTGTGCAGTACTTTGTACCCTTCTGGCCTCTTTTGTCTCATAGCTAATATCCCCCAATTTTACTTGTCTTCTATTATACTGGTCTATGACCGTAATAAACTTGAATTGAATATCCCCCAACATCGAGACAGGGTACTTGTGGTAACAGTTATCTCACTCAGTACCATCGTCCATTTATGCGTACAGGAACAGATAATTGTGAAGCAAACAAGGATTACTATGGGGTTCTAATTCCAGAATGAAACCTTGGAGAGAAATCCAATGTTTGGATATACAGATGGAAACCAATAAAGAGGTTTGTAACTGTCTATGATGGCACTAAGCTTCAGCTGTTACAACAGCAGTGGCCTTTGTTGTAGTAACTGGACCGTATGTCTGTGAGGCACTTCTGTATATGGGCATAAATAACATGCACCAATTCATGATGCAATGCAGATTGATATTTTGGTACATGAACTTTATGACATCATTGTTTGATCTTTACATTAATTTCAACAATAAATACCAACAGGGCCTGCAAGTGAGCCTTGCTTACTTATTCCTAGCAGTACGTCTATGTGTTCATTATTTAATTCTGTAACTCTACAATGGGAAAAGCAAGACAAAATGCAGGTTTTATACAGTAAGGTCTACCTTAGCCATTGGCTAAACTTTACGATGAAAAGTTATGTAACAGTACACATTGTGGAAGCAGTATTATCTTGTATGTACACTGTACCTTTGTGCTAGCTTTTACTTAAACATAAGTCCACTTACAAAACCTGTCTGTGAATACCATCAACACAAGCACTATACCCTTAGTGTTACTGAAGTGCATTATTTATTTAGATTCTTACTGTTACTTTGTTGTTTTAAAACAATCTTTAAAGAATGGTATTTTACTATTATATATTTGACTATTAAAATTATATAATAGTGTGTGTGTGTGTGTGTATATATAGTGGAGCCTGGAGAGGGTGGGGTTTGCGGAGGGGTGGGACCTCAGACAGGTAGAATGCCATAGACTCCACCCTCCAAACCAGCCATTTCATCCTGGGTAACAATTGTTGCCAATCTCCAGGTGAGGGCTACAGATCACTCAAAATTACAACTGCTCTTCAGGGAGCAGAGATCAGTTCCTCTGGAGAAAACAGTGGACTCTGTCATTCTACCCTGCTGAGGTCACCACAGCAAAATGACACTGTTTGCCCAAAGCCAGAGCACTCCCCCAGAGCCTCTTTCTAGATCTCGTTGTATTTATTTCCACAACGGGCTTTACTGCTAGTATACATATAAAATTCAACAGGTATATTCAAAAAGGACAATTATCAGTCTATAATCATTCAAATGATCCAATATATATATCTGTTTGGGCCAAAAATACCAATGAATATACTCAATCCAAATTTCCAATAGATTTCACAGTCCAATAATAATTTCAAATATGGATCAAAATAGTTCTATAAACCTGAACAACATACTCATTTAGATGATCCAGTATATATTTGAGGCAAAAATACCCTTGAGTATACTTAATGCAAACAAATTAAGGGAACATTTTGGTCCTGATGATTTTACTTCTGGAACACAGTTCAAACCTAAGTCTCACTCTACTCTAATGAGTTTTAATCATAATATTCTTGCATTTGAACAGGTAATTCTGAGATATGTGACTATTGCAGAATGCTCAAGACAGGCTATGGCAAAACGTTAACACATTCTGAGAGATTGGCTCTGAGACAACTTAGTTGTAACTCCTCCATTGTCATAAAAACTGTGGACAAGGGAGGAGCTACTGTCATACAGGATAGAATGGATTTGATATTGAATTGAATAGACAATTATGTGACCAGTCATTTTATAAACCATTACAACAGGATCCCAGGCCGAGTTCAGACTGGCAGTTTGGCCCGATATAGGCACTTTTCACAAATGGATTAAAGGGGCCGGTTCACACAGGTACAGCTGTCCAGCGTTCCCCAGCTGTACTCAACCCGTCTTGTAACACTTCCCTCCCGAATTTAAAAAATACCAGGTGAAGGTGGTAGCAAACCCTGGAGAGCGCGTTGATCTCGCTTCCCAGACGTGTGCATGCTAAACACTAAAAGCCAGGAACAACCCGCATTGATAATGTGTGCCGATTGTTCCCGCAGGAATGTGCATAAGCGCCCATCCGCGTAGGCGCCTGCAGTGGAGCGAGGAAAAAGCTGCTTACAGTCACGCCTCTAGCCAACAGTGTGAACGCTCCCTTGTGCCTCCTCCCCAGTATGCTCCTGCATCAGTCGGTGCAGTGTGACCGGGAATACCCAGAACAAGTTGTTCCAGATCTTTTTGCCACGACTCCCTCACGCTTCATACTGCTAGTCTGAACTCAGCCCCAGTAAGCATATTCTATTTATCGTCAGAACTGTAGCACAAGAGGGTTTAACTTTGAGGTTCATCATGGTACCCGCAGCTGACTTTTTGGTTAACCAATCTAATTGTGTTCCAATATTTTACATATTGCCCAAAATATGTAAAGAAGGAACCCCTCCTCCTGGGAGACCCATTGTGTCAGGTTCCAATTCAATTCTTGAACCTCTGGCACAGTACATGGATAGTTTTTTTAATCGTTTTGTAGCAAAGACTTGTACATATATCAAGAGATACGACTGATTTTATAACCAAGATTGAGGGCCATTCATTTAAAGACAATTATTTGCTATGTTCATTGGATGTTAAAGCATTATACACCAATATACCACATGAGGAGGCTAGGTTAGGGGCACAAGAGGATTTAGAGAAGAGAGGAATTATGTCCACCCTTGTCGTTTCTCATTCAATTGCTGGATATTGTTCTGGAGAAGAATTATTTGCAGATGGAGGATCAGTTTTATTTACAGATTCAAGGAGTTGCTATTGTACCAACTATTGCCAACTTATATATGGCAGAATTTGAAGAGAGGTTTGTTTTTCATTCATCTAATCCATATAGGAACAATAACGTTGCTTATTACAGATTTATAGATGACATCTTTTTGATATTTAAAGATGAAGGATGTTTAACATTATTTTCACCTTGGATTAATACCCTGCACTCCACTATTCAATTCACTATTACATTTCATCTGCATTTCTACATATGGATGTATATGTACAGAACAGCAAATTATTGATCAGAATGTTTTCTAAACCTACTGATAAGAATTCATTGTTCAACTATACAAGCCATCATCCTAGCCACTTACGATGCAATTTACCTTGTGGACAGTTCCTGCATATTAAATGTAATTCATCCCTATGGGATGATTATGATTTACAGTCTGGGATTTTGGTTTTAAAATAGCAATCCAGACAATATCCTCATGGGGTGATCCAGGCAGCTGACAGTAAAGTACGACAGGAACTATTTGAAGAATATTCTAAATTATCACATAACATAATGTTTTTTTCTCAAGAACTTTCAAGTTTTGTTTGGACACATAAATGAGATCATTTATGTAGACCCTGGCACTTGTTATGTCAAATCCCTGGATGTGGAATACCCCCATATTATGGGGTATCAGAGTAGTAAGTCCATAGGGACATACAACAAATGTAGAGTCCAGTGGCACCTTTAAGACCAACAAAGGTTTATTTTAGGTATGAGCTTTCGTGTGCAAGCACACTTCTTCAGATACAATGAAATGGAAATAGAAATAACAGTCATACATATAGAGAGTGGGCAGTAAATTAGCATACAGAATAATGAAGATGTTTTTAACAGATTGAAAGAACAACAAGCTTAGTTTATATGGCTATCAACTCGTGTGGAAAAATATTAGGAACATAGTCGCACACAGAAATTTTAAGATTGTTAGAGCTCTACCACAGAGGGTGGGACATTATAGGTATAATGGCTCAATCACTGGTTCTAAAACAATTCACACATCCTTGGGATGAGAGTAGATCTGTCACATTAAAAAAATAGATTGTTTAATTTATATGTTAAAAGACACAGCTAGAAAAGCTGACAAACATCCAAAAGATATTTGTTCCCATGGGTTCAATGATTAAATGCAATGAAGTGTGTGCATGCATGAACACACACAAAATATACGGGCTAAATGTCATGATATTCTGAAGACAGTTGTGTTTAAGGTCAGCCATACACCTCCACCACTGTAATTCATTACCAAATAAGACTAAACATGATCCAACCTAACCCTGATTTATTGTGCATACAGGTTCACCAAGGGAAAAAATCTGGCAAAACAGGGTCCCATAGACGTACTGAAACACAGATTAATATTCCTGAAGAAAAAGTTTGGATTTTTTTGCTGAAGATTTCAGAAATTTACAGTATTCACTTCTTCTTTCCCCGGCCTATGAAAGTGTCCATAAAACTGAAAAATCCAATATAATCTCCGATGACATATGACATTTTTGTAGGTAGCAAACTAGAAAGAGGAATGGAAGCAGAGAGGATGTTAGTTCTATAAAAGTCAGCATACAACCTAGGATTTCCAAAAGATGCATTGCTAAATCTGGGTATGGAGTAGGGGGTCACTGGCAATGTTCCCTCTAAGCTGTGGAGTCTTGTGAGCAAAAATTCTACTTTGTGAGTGACTGGCATTAAAGTTGTGAGCGAGCGATTGGGCTACTGCATAAAGTAGTTTGTTCTGGAGCCATCCCTTCCTGAGCTGAGACAAAAATGTGTGAGCTGGAGGCTAAAAAACTGTGAGCTAGCTCACACTAACTCAGCTTAGAGGGAACACTGGTCACTGAGGGTATGGGGGGAGGTAGTTATGAATTTCCTGCACTGTGCAGGGGGTTGGACTAGATGACCCTGGAGATCCCTTCCAACTCTATGATTCTAAATGCTTCATCTCTCTGCACTGTCCCACTTCTTAAATCTTCACAGTTTGGCCACTTTGTTGTCTACTGCTGACTTATCTTATCTTGAGTCATCCTATCCTCCATTGCAGGCTGCCTTCTCTGTGATCTGTGGGCAGAGCCATGACAGGAAGATGATCATACCAAGTTTTTGATGACTTAACTGCCATCACGTACAATAAGACAAGAATTCATTTTTATGAATTAGTTTCTCCTTACAACTCCACACAGGTTTCCTTTAAACTTCAAACTCAGTGTGTTGTAGTGTAAAGATGTCGAACTAAGACTCAGGATATTCTGGTTCAAATCCCTGAATGCTACAAAACTCACTGGGTCCCTCTGAGCCAGTCATTCTCTCTGAGTCCATTCTGTTTTCATCTCTGTGCAGAAAAATGGAGCAGGAGAGGGGGGACTAGTGTTATTGTCAACAGAGCTTCTTGGACAAGGGAGGTAGGTAATGTACTATTTTGGTGCTTTCAAAGCTTTGTCTTGCAGACAAAGTTTTATGCAGAGTAATAAGTATATGATGTTACCCACCCTGAGCCCGCTTGTGGGATGGGAAGGCTATAAATACGATAAATAAATAAATAAGTGGTCAACAATTAAGCATGTCCTACTCAAATCACTTAGCTGCATGAATAGAAATGGGCACAACCACATTTTTGCAGTTTGGTTCATAGTTGAACCAATATGAACCAAGAGGTTTGTTTGTGAACTGAACCAGTTCATGTCATTTAAAGTTTAACCCCCTGCTTTCTGCTCCCTGTGGATTTTTGTGTGGAGCAGAAAGCAGTGGTTTAATTAAACCAAATAGCTGAGCTGTTTTTTGTGAAGAGCAGAAAGCTTTTCACGAATTGCCACAAACTTCATCAAAATGCATGAAAGTTCACGGTGGTTTTTCAATTTGCGAACATTGCTTCACAAACCACAAACTGCCCAAAATTTGTGATGAACTTTAGTTCATCAGTCAGTTTGTGCCCATCCGTATGCATGATATAATGCCGCTGGTTGCAGCAAGAGATCCATGCCAGGAACTTTTGCAGTGTCACAGAAAATGTTAAGGGTTCATCTCTTGATTATATTCTGTTTCACACGTGACCTTAAAAATGTTGCTTATGTTGGTTGTGCCATTAGGACTCTTAGTTTAGGCTTGAAGCAAGAGAGCAGCACAGGAAATGAATGTAAAGAAAAGAAAGTTGCTCCTACCATTTCATTTTAAGTAAAAAGGATACAGCTTGTGGTATGATCACACAGGACTCCTCCCTCAGAACACTGGTCACAATTCTCTCCGCTGCATATTCTGGCTTTAGAAAAGGCATCAAGCGTCTCAATCTGGGAAAAGATAATCAAGACTAATGGCACAATAAGTAGAAACTGGAAGGTTGAACCCCTTCCACCCCAAGAAGAGCACCACGGCAAGGACTGGTTAGACATGCCAGAAAAGATACAAGCACAAACATACCTGAATTTACCTCCTCATACCATTCCCCAAATTAGCAATGCTGTCAATTGGTTGCATATTCATTTCACCCCATCCCTAACTCTTCTTCAAATATCCCCACATCGTATCCATGATCCAGAGGTCCTCACTAGCACAATTAAGCTGTATGAACTGCCTTATACCAAGTTAGATCATTACTCTGCCTAGCTGAATAATGTCAACTGATTGTCAGTGAACCTCTGTTGTCTTAGGTAGAGAAAGGCTTTACCAATCTGCTACTAGAGATGCTTGAACTGACGATTTATGACCAGTGTTCCCTCTAAGCTGACTTAGTGTGAGCTAGCTCACAGTTTTTTTAGCCTCTGGCTCACGCATTTTTGTCTTGACTCAGGAAGGATGGCTCCAGAGCAAACTAATTTATGCAGTCGCGAAATCATTCGCTCACAACTTTAATGCCAGTAGCTCACAAAGTAGCATTTTTGTTCACAAGATCTCGCAGCTTAGAGGGAACATTGCTTATGACACTCTTATTTGTTCTTTAGTAGCCCAAATAGCAGGGTTGCCAGCCTCCAGGTGGGGCTTGTAGATCTCTCAGAATTATAGTGGATCTATTGCATTATATGCCACTGATCCCTCCCTTAGCCAAACTCTTCCCTCACCAGACTCTACCCCCAAACCTCCATGAATTTCTCAACATGGAGTTGGTAACCCTATCAAATAGCCCAGCCTGGTCTGGGCTTGGCAGACCTCAGGAGCTAATCAGGGTCAGCTGCAGTCAGTACTACCTCCACTAGTCTCTTGCCTGGAATGTCCTGTGGATGGGGTCACCATGAGTCAGTTTATACTCCACAGCACCTTCTTATTATGCATTCTTCAGATATGTTATAGCAGACAGCAGAAAGACAGTCAGTACTTCGTTGGCCTAACTGATAATGTTGCAAATTATGATGCACCTTGACAGACATTACTGTCCTTGTTCAAACATAATGGAGTGACACAACTTAAACAACAACCAATGAAAGTCATTGCAGCACCAGGTAGTGAATCATGGCAATTATATTGTATGTGAAGAATATGAGAAAAATCCAGATGGATCAGTCCAACCAGGTCATCATGCTGCCTCTGAACTTGGAAGTTCCACTAAGATAACATAGCTAATATCTGTTGATGTGCCTATCCTTCATGAATCTGTCCAATAGCTTTTAAAAGTCTTGGCAGTGAATTACATAAGTTTCATATAGTTTGTGTGAATTACATCTTATATGTCTGTCCTGAATCTACTGCTGATTACTGGGGTCGATTTCACACAAGAGCTGTGCTGCTGTTGCGCCTCCCTTTGCCCCGTTTCTATTGGTCAATTTCCCACTCGAAGCCGCGCGGCTGCATTTTGATCCTTGACTTCATCCGATTTTCCCCACGGTTTCGTGATCCTCAAAAAACAGGCTTCAAGTGGGAAATTGACCAATAGAAGCGGGGCAAAGGGAGACGCGACCACGGCACAGCACTTGTGTGAAATCGGTCTGGGTGAACTGCAAATTCTGATGAAATCCAGCATTTACTTCCATTCATTCTGAACTTCCAATTCTTCACTTTGCTTTTCTGTCAGTCAACCACTGCCTTGACTGGTTTCAGACTACTAATGTATTTAACAATATTTTTATTTCTGTCTCAATGTTTTAGCAATATGTTCCTCAAGTTCTTTTTTTCACTTGCCTTATTTTTTCCCAAGAGTTTGCAATGACTTTATTATCCTTGGGGTTATTCACTGACAGACATTCTACTCAATGTGTTTTAATCAAACATGACCCAGTCTTTATTTGTTTATTTACTTCCTTAATAAAGTTTAATATTTGTGAAAAAAGTTCCTATATTATTCTTACATTTCCAGCAATTTTTTGAAGTTTGAGGTGCAAATTTTCCAATTTTATCTGGTGACCAATACCATCTATGAAACATCTTATATAAATTTTCTTTATATGCTGTTGAACTGAGTTATCTCATAGACTTCCATATTTTGGCCCAGTCGTCAATATCTATCGTATAGCCCATATCTTTAATCCATGCTACTATTGAGGGTTTAACCATCTCATCTTACAAATACCGTTCCATCAGAAAAGTTGCTTGGTGCTTGGGGGGGGGGTCAACAGTGGGAGGGCTTCTAATGTCCTGGCCCCACTGGTGGACCTCCTGATGGCACTGGTATTTCTGGCCACTGTGTGACACAGAGTGTTGGATGGGATGGGCCTTTGGCCTGATCCAACTTTGGCGTCTCTTATGTTCTTATGTATATACTTTTTGTATTAACTTATCACTGGTTGACAACCAAAATTTATCTAGTTCATTGTTTCCCATATAGAACCCCATAGTTTTATCTTTGCTGTACATAGATTTAAGTTGTGTATTTTCCCACCATGTTAAGTGTTTCATTGCTATGTCCAAGTTTTTACCTAATATATTTTGGGCAATAGACTCAGACGGGCAATAGATTCAGACAAAAAGGAAATAGTTCTTTACTCACCAAGAAATTACATTGTGGAATTAATTGCCAGGGGATGTAATAATGGCCAGTGGCATAGACAGCTTTAAAAGAGGGTTAGCTAGATTGGTGGAGAATTGGTGTATCAGGAGAGCCTCCACATTCAGAGGCAGTGAACCTCTGTAACTGAGTGCTAGGAGTCAACATCAACAGAGGGACTTTGTTTCTTGACCCTCCTGGTCAACTGATTGGCTATGCATGAAACAGGCCGCTGGACTAGATGGACCACTGGTCTGATCCATCAGGGCTCTTCTTATGTTCTGAAAAACTCAGAAAGGTAACATGGAAAAAGCAGGACACTTGCAGATCATAACCAGGGATGTAACCCTGGTTACATAACCACACACACACATATACAAACCTTTATTGGTATTTTTTAGATATATTCAGATACCCAGATGGCTTTTGGGATTTTTAGGATACAAAATCCAGAAATATTTGGGAATGCATGAGAATATTTGGGGCCAACATTTTAAGGCTCCCATAATTGCTTTTCTTAAATTTTATAGTATGTCTGTGTCAGTGCCTTCTTGACTGGTTGGTTTGGCTTAGATTTTCTGGTTTCAAATTGGTTTTGTTCATTTTGCAGCAGTGTCCCTTGCTTAAATTGATTTGCCTTGGATTTTGTGTTTTAACAGTGGTTCTGTTGGGTTTGCCACATTGGCTGATAGTTCTCCTTAGCTTCTGTGGTTTGACATTGGTTTTGCTGGGCTTGCAACTGTGTCCCTTGCTTCAGTTGGTTAGGCTTGCATTGTCTGGTTTGATATTGGTTGTATTGGGCTTGCCACATTGGCCTGTAGTTCTGCTGGAATTCCCTGGTTTGACGTTGGTTATGTTGGGCTTGTTGGTTCTATTTGCATTGGGAGACTTTTTTTCAGTGGTTGCTTGCTGTTGTGTGTTTGGCTGTTGACTTCTTTGACCTGGAGAAAGCATGGAATTCTCCATCCCCATAGGAAACAATGGAGACACTTAGGATGGCTGCAGCATCTCGTTCAGGGGCCCATAGGATTGCACCCCATACTCCATTGTACTTGAAACCTGGGTGGTCTTTAGTGGACAGGCTGGACTAGATTCCCTGCAATTATGGTGTCATTTGCTTGAAAGCCACTCCAGGCCCCTAGAAATATTTCCCATAGTAGAAATATAGGCATGTCAGCCCATTTTAAGAGCATGTCCTTCTAAATTTAGAGTTCTATCTTCTAGCTTTATCCAGCTTTTGACCCAGGTTAAAGCAGATGCTTGATAATAAAGTTCCCAGTTAGGAAGTCCCATACCTCCTCTTTCTTTTTTCTCTTGTAGGTATTTCCATCTAATTCTTGGTTTCTTGGGATACCATATACATTGTCTGGTAATTTTATCCAAATCCACAAAGAATTTCTTTTTCTTTAATATTGGTATATTTTGGGCTAGGAACAGAGAACGTGGTAAAATGTTCATTTTTATAGTAGCTATTCCCCCTAATAGTGATAATTGTATATCTTCCCATTTTAGAAGATCTCTTTTAATTTCTTCTAATAATTTTTTATAATTATTTTCTATTAAACTACTGTTTCTTTTGGTCATCTGAATACCTAAATATACAACTTTGTTAGTGATTTCCGACTTTGCTATGTTAGTGATCTTTTCTTTCTCTTCCTGTGTACAATTCTTAGTCATTATCTTTTTCTTTTTGTATTTAGTTTGAAACCTGCCACTTCTCCATATTTTTGTATTGTGTCTAACAATGGGGCTATCGATACTACTGGGTCTTCCAAAATCAAGACTAGGTCATCCGCAAATGCCTGAAGTTTGAACTCTTCATCTGAAGTTTGAACTCTTCATCTTTAACTTTCAAACCTTTTATTTGTTTGTTTTCTCTTACTAACGATTCTAGGACAAATATAAACAGTAATGGAGACAAAGGACACCCTTGTCTAGTTCACTTTTGGACTGCTATATTTCCTGTCAGTTCTCCATGTCCTTCGAGTTTCAGTAGCCTTCTATCTTCCGAAGTAATCCATTCTTTTATCCAGGCTAATGCTGCAGCCCTATAATATAATAGCCAATTTGGACTCTAAACCCACCTTTCTCTTTAACTTCTTGCATAATTTTAAGTCTTATTCGTGCTCACTTCCCTTGCCAAATAAATTTAGATGTTTTTTGTATTTTTTCTCATTATATTGGTATAGGTTTTTATAAAACTTCATAGCTATCTCTTTCAAGTCTTGAGGGTAATATTTGAGCTCATTGTTATCATTTTTAACGCTGTAATTACCTGTTGTTTTCTCATTTTCCTGATCTTATAAGCTAACCATCTAGTTGGTTTATTTGCATTTTCAAAATATTGCTATTTAGCATATCCTATATTCTTGGCTATTTCCTCAGTTAGTAACATATTCATCTGGTGCTGCAACATATTTATATTGTTCTTTATTGCATCAATGTTTTTAGTATTCTTCATTTTAGTTTGTTCATATTGAATCTTATTCTTTAAATTCTCATATTTTATCCTTTTCTGTTTCATTTTCCAGGCATATTGATTTATACACCAGCCTCTTATGTATGCTTTAAATGCATCCCAAACCGTATTTATAGATGTTTCAGGTTGAATGTTATTCTTGAAGAATTGTCGTATTTCAATTTTTGTTTTTCTTATAAAATTCTGGGTCTTTTAAAAGATCTATATTCATTCTCCATCTACTTTTTCTTTGTATGGAGTGAAATGAGATTGATAATGGATTATGGTCTGCAAATATTCCTGGTAGTATTTCTATTTCTTCTAGTTCTTTTATCAATGAAGTCAAATTTCTTATCCTCCAAGTATCTAACAAAGAGTGTTCTTCTGCTATTTGTAAAAAGAGCTTCAGAAGGGTTTTCCTGCTTTACCCTGTGATTTTCTATCTATTTTAACATCATAGACTGCATTGAAGTCTCCTATAATACAAATTTCTTCCATTGTGACCATGTCTAGTATAGTCTTTAGTTCTTTAAAAAAGGTTTCTTGTTTTTGATTAGGAGCATATATATTAATAACTATCATTTTTTCCCTTCTCTCTTGACATATGTTACAACTCCTCTTTTCTTTTTATTATCTGCCGCTATAAAAGCTTCTCCTAATTTTTTATTTACCAAGTATTTCACATCATTTCTATTGATATGAGTTTCTTGTAGGCAAACTATTTCTGTTTGATATTTTGTTAGGGCAATTCTGCATCTAGCATTCGCTCCACATTTTCTCAACTGGAAGGAAGAAGTGTAGCTCAAAACCACATTCAGATACCTCAGGGCAATGCCGTACTGACTGCAAAGTCACCCCCGAACAGCCATAAAACGGTCGGTACAGAAGGTACAATAAAATCAAACAATCAAAGAAGTCAAAAGTGGCATGCAGTGTGGAAGCTACCATAAAACCCAATAATCAAAGGAAGTGAAACTAGCATGCAATGTAGGAGGAATTTCTGTTCCAATGTGGGTTTCATAATGGAGCATCGAGAGGGTGGGGTTTGCAGAGGGGTGGGACCTCAGACAGGTAGAATGCCATAGACTACACCCTCCAAACCAGCCATTTTGTCCTGGGTAACAATTGCTGCGAATCTCCAGGTGAGGGCTACAGATCACTCACAACTGCTCTTCAGGTAGCAGAGATCAGTTCCTCTGGATAAGAGTATATAATTGGTGGGGGGAAAACACTGTATGTAAGACTCCAAAAAAATGACAATGATTATATAAAAGTGCTTACTGGCTGTTTAACAAAAATGAATAAATATAGTATTAAAAATAAAGTTTATTATTCATAATTCATATTATCTGCTGTTTGAATGTTACAGCAAAAATACAGTCTCATATCTTTTTGGTGAGGCAAACCTTTCTTCTTCAGAGAATTACTGTTGGGGGGGGGCTTAAATACAAATTAACCAAATTACCTTCAGAGCTTAAAAGCAGATATATGCAATCTGCTTCATTCAGAAGAGAGAGCATACCGGTTATTTAATTAATGTTAGTGAGGAAAGATTATTTCAATCTAGAGTGAGTCTTTCTGAGCCATACCTCTAGCCCAGGGATCCCCTCAGCAGTCACTTTTTCTTCCCAGCGCAACCACTGGAGTCTTAAATTGACTCTCAATTTCCTCCCTCCCACTCAGCATTCTAACATGGATGTTTCTACAGGTCTTCAAAACTCAGTGACAGGGGAATGACATGACTTAAAGCAGGGCAGGACAGCCCCCATCTGCCACAGTGACTCTTTTATTTTTTTCATTTAGGAACGCCTTCCACCTTTTAAAGGGAAGCCTTCTATAGCTTCTTCAACTCTAGTCATTAACTGGAAAACGCTGTTTAATAACTATGAACTAGAAGGGCCTAGAAACAAGAAAAAATGAACCTTCTGGATTTTTGTGGTCCTTTTTGCATAATAACTAGATTTCAACCAGAACACAATTATTCTGAGTAGCTGCTGCTGATTGCTTGGCTTAAAAATTATTGAGTTCTCTTATATATACAGAAACTTTTTAAGACCATATGCATACATGCATGCAAACAAACAGTTAACTCACTTTGGTTTACAGCCTTCAAACATCCCTGTGGAAATGAAATATGGGCAGACAGTTGTGGTTTTAATGCCAGTCTTCCCCAAGTGTCTCATCTCTGCTCCTAAAGACTCAAGAAAGCCAACAGCTGCAAATTTACTTGTACAGTAATCTGTTAAATGAGAGGGAAACATGTTAGCAGCATAATATTTGTATACAGTAGGATATTAGAGACTGGATGTCAAGTTCATTATTTGCTTGTAAGGACTCTGCATGCGCCCAGTGCCTTGTTTGTTTAATCTGTTCAAAAGTGCTGTGCAACCAAAGCTTTTTACACACTGGGAAGTAATATGGAGTGTGACTTGCATCAACCCCACCCAATAAAGTTTGTGGCTCAACAGAGGTCTGAGGCCTCCTTAGCTCTAGACTCTGTTTTACTGCCTGCTAAATAGAAAATAAAAGATGAGTCTAAAATAAAATAGGTGCAGACTTTCCTCTAAAAGAAAACTCCATGTTGAAGTAGTGTAAATGCAAGACACTCCCAACCCACTATGCCACAGGAGAGCACCTATTGGAACAATAGCTAAATAAGCCTCCCCCATTAATTGAAAACAGTTTCAGATGTTAAAAGCAAGTGCTATATGAGCAGTGAGCTGGCAATGCTCGCATGGAACATCCAGTACTGAAGAGCCCTTTCTCTTCTGCCCAAACCATGAATTAATGAGGAAGACCCTCATTAGGAACCTGCCTAGTCTAAGTTAGTGTTGGCAGGGACTTATGACAGGGCCTTTTCAGATGCTGCCCCTAATTATGTAATTCCCTTACCTAGGAGGTGAAGTCAACAATGAAAGCTGAAGACATTGTTGTCGTCCTGGTAGGACTTTCCTATACAAGATCCTCTTTCGACATTACACACCTGACAACTGTACAAGGGATTCCACACACATTTGGCAATACTTATTTGTAGTACTTTTAACCACTTTTAACTTGCTTTAACTTAAGACACTTTTAACTTGCTTCACAGTTTATTTTCTTGAAAACAAATAGCTAATCCCCGTTAGCCTACAAATAAATATCTGAAATGTTTAATTTAGCCTTGTCAACAGGAGACCACCCTTATGTTTTTTGTAGTCTTTTCCAGATTAAACTTTCACCTCTTCAATCTCCCATTTTCTATTTTTGAAATATTTTTGAAAAAGCAAAAGCAAAAATAGTACAGAGTACAATGCTGAAGTGGCCTTCAAACTCCTCCTTCAGTGTGTGTTTGTAGCATACTAGAGTTCGTAGTGTCAGTATACTGAAACTATTTACACCAATATCCGGGTACCCTTCATTTCACACTGTCCATTTAAAATCTACCTACTGTTCTCCCTAATTGTTTGCATATTTCCATAAAGCTGAGGGAAACCTCTAGTTCTTCCCTGGCACCTAACCATGCCTTTAGTGAATTATTTAACAGGTTATTTTAATTGTGCAGGATTCCTCAAGGAATATAAAGTAGGAAGTCTATTACTGTTGCACTGTATCTGATGGTTGCACATACAACAAAACTGTCAAAAACCATGAAGCAATAGAATAATGCAACAAAATACAATCCTGGTAACAAAGTTATATCTTGTTTTCCTTTTAAGTTTAGTGAAAATATTCTTGTGAGAAGCACAAGAGAAATCATTTGTAACTGGTAAATCCTCTAGGTGAAAATAATGATATCCAGCAAGTAAAGTTTGCTATGGAATTCTGAGGATATACACTAGATTTTTGTAGGCCTTTAGCCCCATCTTAGTTATGTAACAGTTTCCAGCAGTGCCAGGCCTTTTCACAGGAGTTACGGATCAAAATCCCTACTGGGCAGTATACCTCCTTTTCTCTCTTCAAACCTCTCCTCGAAAACCACATCTTCCCACAACCTTCTTTTTAAACCCCAAAGTCCACTCCCAATAAAACAAAGCCAGAAGTATATATAATGGTACTTGTGTACATGTATTCCTTGTTATTTTGTTCCAGAAATCCTCTCCAAAATCAGCTAAGATGGGCAGAATTTCTATGTTCAGAACTCCAGGATGGGAAGGATCATGTCATGGAAGTGTCTCTTTTGGATCCATGTCCAGATGTGAGTTTTTGCCCCTCTGACTGTGGTGACTTTTAAAAAAAGGACTTCTAGCATGTCATGCAAGAGCCAGAAATCTGTTACCTGGTGAGCATATGCCCAAATTAAGTTGTAGGCTACAAACTGCATCTGTGGGACCTCAGTGTACGCTTTCTGAACCACAGGTTGTGTAAAGCACTGCTAAAATGATTCAAAGGGCTTCATTCATTCTGCTTAAGAGCAACCTAAAGATACATCTTCTGTGTACTAACCTGTCAGTCCACTGGTTCCAACCAAACCAGCTGCACTAGCAATAGTTACTAAGTGCCCATGATTAGCGGCCATCATTGCTGGAAGAAACGCTTTGCAAGTCTATGCAGAAAAACACAGAAGCAAGCATGCAAACGATTACAAATAAACATGTGAGAGGATGCACGCTACTATAACGGTCAAGACAATAAGATAAAAATTATGAAGTCCCCTGTGAAATCACACCTCAGCTATGATTATGCCAGGCTATAAGAAAATCTCTCAGACTCTGTTGATACCACTTGTACAGTAGTTGTAATGATTTGCTGAAGTAATGTAGGTAAAGTTTTTTTTAATATTTAATAATTACATATTATTTATCCAAAGTATTACTATATAGAAAGTGACATATTTTCTTTCTCATTAGAACCACTTCTCATATGTGTTAATAACAATAGTAGCAGCAGGCCAACAATCAAAGGACTGGGAAGGCTAGAGCAACTGAAGCCTCACTACTGACTTCTTTACTGCCACTGAGGGAGCACAAGCAGCTGACTGGACAACAGGAAGTCACTCTAGATCAGGGGTGTCAAACCTACAGCCCATGGGTTAGAACTGGCCCACCCAGGACTTTAATCCGGCTTGCAAGCAAGAGGCCAGAGGGAGAGAAGTGGAGGGAACCACTGTTTCAGCTACCATGGGGAACATGCACTTTGGGGCTCTCTTTCTCTCCCCCCCCATGAATGAAGTGGATGGGGCCAAGTGTCCCTCTTGTCTTTCCCCACACAAATCCCACCCCCTAATTGCTTGGGTCCACCTCCCCCTCACCTTGCTACTGCATTTCTGTGTGTGTGCAAAGCAAAGTTTGAGTCCAGTGACACCTTAAGACCAACAAAGTTTTCTTCAAGTTATGAGCTTTCAGTGTGTGTATGTTCTGTTGGGCTTGTTACGCTGTGGTTCTCCCGGATGGAACTGGGCCTGCTTCCCTCTCCCCTCCTTCTCCCCCTTGCCTTGCTACTGTGTGCACATCTGTGTGTGTGCAAAGCAAAGTCAGAGTCCAGTGGCATCTAGAGACTAACAAGGTTTTTTTCGAGGTATGACCTTTCCTGTGCCTTGCCATCCTCTGTGTGTGTTTTGTTGGGCTGGTTATGCCGTGGCTCTTCCAGGTGCAACTGGGTCCGCCTCCCCCTCCCCTCCTCCTTTTCACTGTATTCATGCCTGCCTCATAGGAATTGTAGTTCTTTTTCTGGGGAAGACTATAGTTTTGTAGACAAAAACTCCAGTTTAGTTTTGTAGACTCCCCACTCCAGGCAGCATGGGGGCATCAGCAACAAAATATTGCAAGTGTTAATATTTTAAGCATGTTTGTATTTTAAGTAAATTTTGTCTGTGTCCTTTATAAAGTTTATATCTCTGCTACCTGGCATTGCATTTTACACATGGCCTGGCCCGACAAGGTCCCATTTATCTCAAATCTGGCCCTCATAACAAATGAGTTTGACATCCCCGCTCTAGATCATCAAGTTTTTGCTGCATTAGTCCCACTGTCTAATTGCAGCCCAGGGACTATTTTGTTAAAGTCTACCACTGGAATGCAAGTGAACTAACAGCCACTAGGAAAACATTTTTACAGGAAAGAAAACAAAAATTACAGGTTATAAACATAAGTAATCTGTGCATTAACTGAGAGAGCCATAAGGACAAACTTCAGATATAGTGGGGTTTAAGGTCTGAGCAGATACAGATTTTTAAGGACTCTGAAGACACCTTTAATTAGCTTGCCAGAAACAAACCAGATGATCCTTCATGGCTCATAACTGACATATTAAAGGAACCACACAGTCATTCCACTTTCGTGAAACACTAAGCCTGGAACATAAGAACAAGAGCATACACAATCTTTGGCCAAAATGTTGCTCTTAACTTATCCTCCTGAAGATACCAGGACCTCCTCCAAGTATGCAAGTTCCCATCGCTAAGGAATTAAAATGGGTTGCTCTCCTGTAAGTCATGTTCTTCAAAGGGTCTTCTGTGTGGTCACATTATTGCCCTCCCTCTGGTGTCTCTTACACGTTACTAACATTGATCCTTTATTTTGCCCACTTTTCTGAGCAGGCACAGATTATTGAGAAAATAATAATGGGTGGTGCAAGAATTCCAGAATTGTCTTGCCAAACCCTGTGTGCACACCTGGGTGGATGACTGGTTGAACACATTCAGTTAATAGGCAAGTATGACAGATAGGCAAAGTAGTTTTTCCTCTATGCTGAGTTAGTGTGAGCTAGCTCACAGTTTTTTAGCCTCCGGCTCACACATTTTTGTCTTCGCTCAGGAAGGATGGCTCCAGAGCAAACTAATTTATGCAGTAGCCAAATCACTCGCTCATAACTTTAATGCCAGTAGCTCACAAAGTAGAATTTTTGCTTACAAGACTCCATAGCATTGAGGCAAAGGTTATCAATTTGCTGTATAGTCCATGGGCCAGACCAGAGGACAGTATCAAGTAAGGTGGCAAAACATCTTTATGATTTTCTGAAATGTGTATATCTATGGATTATGTTTTGAAGGTCTGATGGGCAGCTTAAGCTTTTTATGATATCATCAAGATGGCCACAGCCAGTTTTTTGTATATTTTCTAATCTGAACTATAACTCACACATCAAGTGACCAATTTCAAATTTTACAGCACTGTCGGAAAGCGAATAAATTTCACTACAAATAATTAATACCAATAATGCAACAGTAATCCATCACTGTTTTTGTGAGAGATAAGACATAAATCATAAAAGGACATAGCAGAGCTGGAAAAAGTGATGATTAGGATGATTACAGGTTGGCGTACCCTCCCAGTGAGGAAAAACTGAAGAGTCTGGGACTTTTCAGTTTATAAAAGAGATTACTAAGGGGGGACATGATAGAGGATTATAAAATTATGCGTGGGGCAGAGGAGAGTTGACCCCCTCCCAAAATATTAGAACCTGAGGGTATGCAATGAAACTGATAGGCAGCAGATTCAGAACAAACAAAAAGAAATACTCCTTTACACAGAGAGTGATTAAAATGTGGAATTCGCTGCCAGAGGATGTGATGATGGCCACAGGAACAGACAACTTTAAAAAGGGATTAGATAGATTAATGGAAGATAGATCTACCAGTGGCTACTAGCCATGGTGACTGAGGAGAACCTTCACATTTAGAAGCAGTCAGCCTCTGAATCCCAGAGCCAGGAGGCAACATCAAGGGAAGGCCTCAGCCTCTATGCCCTCTTGTTGGCCCTCCAGAGGAACTGGTTGGCCACTGTGTGAGACAGAATGCTGGACAGGATGGACCACTGCTCTGATCCAGCAGGACTCTTCTTTTGACATGCCAGTTAGGTACATGAGAATGGATCCACATTTTATGTCATTTATATCAGAGATCTGTATTTGGCTACTGATATGGCTTTTGTTTGGGCGAGCCAGCCCCAGCTGAAGTGCCATGGGGTTTTCAGCTCTGTGCTGCCTTGGCTGGGGTTGGCTGGTTCCTCTTGCAGCTTGGTTTAAACCAAGCTGCAAGAGGAGCCAGCCCAGGATTTACTGGGGCAGCAGGAACTGACAGCTCCATGCTGCCCCAGCTGCTCCTTCCTTGCCCGCAGGCTCAGTTGGGGCACTGCTGGGCAGCCCAGTTTAAACCCAACTGCCCAGCAGAGCCTGAAAAGGAGCCAGTCCTGCAGGGGCTCTGCTGGGCAGCTTGGTTCAAACCGGACTGCCCAACAGAGCCTGCAAAGGAACTGATCCTGTGGGGAGAACTTGGCTTTTGGGTTCTCTCTCAGCTTGGGCAGGGTTAAGGACACTTGTGCCAGGGTGAGTGGCTGCTGCCGGGTGTGGGGGGGGGGGCAGGGAGGCAGCGCAATGTTCCCTCTAAGCTGTGGAGTCCAGTGAGCAAAAATTCTACTTTTGTGAGCTGCTGGCATTAAAGCTGTGAGCAACTGATTTGGCTGCTGCATAAATTAGTGTGCTCTGGAGCCATCCTTCCTGAGCTAAGACAAAAATGTGTGAGCCGGAGGTTAAAAAACTGTGAGCCAGCTCACACTAACTCAGCTTAGAGGGAACACTGGATGCAGGGAGGATATGGAGGCAGCAGAGAAAAGCCTTGCAGCAGCAGCAGCAGCAGCATGGCTGAAGGGGGTGGAGTCTGGAGGACAGGGCACTCCAGCAGCGAAGACAGCCTGTGCAGCCAATGTGTAAGCGGTGAGCAAAGGAAAGGATGCCCAAGAAAGCAAGAAAGTGAGTGGGGAGAGCAGCAGTGAGCTGACAAATGGGGCAGAGGTAGTGAGCCTTGATGCTGAAAGTCAGGACTCTGGGAAAGCTGGGGAATTGCTGCCTAAGACTTTGGAGGACTCAGGTTTTGTTACAAAGAGCAGAGGACTTTGGGATCAGGACTCAAGGGGGTCCAGGGGACTACTCAGGGACTTCTGGACCAGGAAAGCAACAGAGGAAGGCTGATACGTGTGGAGGGTAGGAAGGAACAGAGGTTTGAGGCTTCATGAACAGAGTTATGTTTTCTCATTTGCCTATGAAGCACTAGGGAGGGAGCTCCTGGCTTGCACACAGGGACTCCTGGTCTGAAGCTCCACCAACCAAGCCTTTCTCCCTAATAGGGACAGAAAAAGTCTTAAATCATTATTCATTCCTCCATTTTATCCTCAAAAGAACCACTCCGTGAGGTAGGTTATGCAGAGAATATGTAATTGGTCTGCGGTCACCCAACAAGCTCCCATGGCAGAATGGGGATTCAAACTCTAACCATGACAGAACACTGGCAATATCAGGACATGAATAAGAGCTCCTTTTTTTCTTCTTGCTTCCCTCATGTTGCATGTGAAGTCTTTGGAACGACAAAGCATTTCTAGACCCAGGCAGTACTAGAGGGAAGAAGAACTCCAATGGCATGGCTGCTTGATCCATCAGACTGACCCACCGCCCTCCTGGCGTTAGCTTGGCAGACCTTGAAATGGAACTGAATTGGAATGGCCGAGCCGCCTGGAGCCACAAATATATTTAAATGTAACTAGCTGGAAAATTTAAATTGTTTTGAAGTAATGTTTTAATGTATTATTATCTATTAATTTGTTTTATGCTATGTGGTGAGCCTTTCTAAGCCCGCAGGGTAGGGAGGGATAAAAATTGAAATAAATAAATGTGATCATAACTACAGGAGACAACATTACTAGTCAGGCTGTAGTAACTTCCTGCCCATGTACTTAAATGCATTTAGAAGCTACTTGGGTTCAGTTTGCCAGGTGGGGGCTGGGACAGAGACAACACTGATTTAACTTTGTATCACGCTACCTGTATTCTAATGTCATTTAAAACCCCAACCTTCAGAACAAGTACCTATTTTTCAATCTATTAGCTATTTTAAAAAGAAGGAAACCTGCATGGGTTTGTCAGAGGAAGAGAAATCTTATTTCCCCACTCTGTGTCTGGCTCCCCCCCCCCCGCATGGCTGGTGGCTGCTGCTATTGTGTTTTCATGTGCTACTATTCCTATTGTCTAGAGTAGGGATGTCAAACTCATTTGTTATGAGGGCCGGATCTGACATAACCTTATTGGGCTGGGCCATGTGTGTCATAAAACGTAATGCCAGGCAGTGGAGATATAAACTTTATAAAGGACACAAACAAATATATATATTTTTTTACTTCAAATAAAAATATGCTTAAAACATTAGCTCTGTAAGCTGCAAACCTACTTTTGATTTATTGACATTCACCACAGAGATCTCATGCTCAGAGTTCTGAGTCTAGGACCCAGGTTAAAACATGAAATGGCTGAGTGATTAAGAGAGTCTGGTGAAGCAAGCTATGATGCAGCAGCAGCAGAACTGGAAGCAGGAGATGGCCAGTTCCACTGCGGGCCTGATGGAAGCTCTCCGGGGGCCTCATCCGGCCCCCGGGCCGCATGTTTGACATCACTGGTCTAGAGCAACCCCAAATGCTGCCTGAACTCCAGGTGGGTGATTGTTGTTGTTTTTTGGCAACATCTGTACTTTCACAGACTTTGCAATTAACTTTAATAATGTTGTTCCACACAATTAGGGTTTTTTTTCTCCCCAAATCTAAGGTTCTCCTATAAACCTGGGGGTTCTACTGTCTTTGTAGAACTGTAGCTTGTAGCTGATCCCACTATGCAAATTAACCTACCTATGCAGGGGCCAATCCTTGATTATTAGATATGTAGATGGACTGCTGAAAGCATTCTAACCATCTCTAAAGGACTTAAACATAGAACAAATTCTGAGTCCAGTGGCACCTTTAAGACCAACAAATGTTTATTCAAGGTATGAGCTTTCATGTGAATGCACACTTCCTCAGATTCATTCATGCTCATGAAAGCTCATACCTTGAATAACTTTTGTTGGTTTAAAGGTGCCGCTGGACTCAAAATTTGTTCTGCTGCTTCAGACCAACACAGCTGCACACCTGTACATAAACATATTTTAACAATAACAATATTTAAGATTTTTACATTTTAAATTAATGAACAGACAACTCTGTGAGAGCCAGGGTGCTGTTGTGGTAACAGGGCCGGACTAGGATCTAGGAGACTCTGGTTCAAATCCCCACTCAAGCCAGTCACATATGATCAGCCAACCTACCTCGCAGGGTTGTTGTGAGGATAAAATGAAGGAGAGGAGAACAATATAAGCCAATTTGGGACCACGTTGTAGAGAAAGGAATGGTATAAATGAATTAAATAAAAAATATTTATTAT